CAAAGAATGATTAAGGAAAATAAACAAATTATGCAAAAAAATGATCAAATTTTGCTAAATTATGCAGGGTTCATAAAACCGCGGGGACAGCAAAATACAAGGTTTTCAGGAGAAGCAAAAAACAGTTTTATTTCAGGCACGACTTTGTCTCAATACGAAATGTTTTATTTTGTTCCACTGTGAACGTTATGTATATCAATTGAAAGTGCTGTGGAGTCTGACTGAACAAACTATGGGTAGTTTGAAACGGCAGTAAACAGAAAGAAAATAAAAGCTCCCAATTTTTTTCTCTGTTTGAGCAACCTCTCTTAACCAAAAACCTGGTTAAAGCAAAAAAATTGCAGCAGCCGCGCAGATTTTGGTTTCAGCAGACTCCTCCGTCTGTTCAATCGAAACTTTTCCATTTATTCGCTCATGCTGTCATGTTGTTTTTTTCTTCTAATATTTTTGCACTTACAGAGACTTGCACTTGACAAACTGGCAGGCAGAGTCCACGGTCTGTACGGGAAAGTGTACGACGCTGCCATGCTCTCCGTGAGACCTGGGAACCAGACGTCAGACGCCATGCGGCGAGAAGCAAGCGTCTTCCAAAGTCTGGACGGTGAGGCGTCTACTGAAAACCTTTCACCCGGATGTGCAAAGTGTAGAGTTGAAATTAGGGATGGGTTATGAAATGCCTTTTAATCAGCATGAGATAGAAGAGTAGCTAGCATTCTTCCTCAGAAAATGAGATAACTTTTACTTAAACAAAATAAAATTGACACGAGAAAGAGGAACGTTTGAACAATCTTGATCATTTCCTGTGTAGCTGCTATTACAGAGCTACAGTTCGATAGTCTAAACATAGAAGGAATACTTTCATTACCTGTCCTTGTAGTGTGATATCGATGACAGTTTGAATTCAGGTGATAATCTACAGTTTCGTGCATAGTCACGTAAAGGACACATTCGTGGAAGTTCTGGTTTAATTGGAAATTGAGCTACATATATATATGTGGCACAACGCAGTGGAATCAGGCTCTTGTCAAGTTTTGGGCATATGGAGTTGATGGTATCATCTTAAGGCCTGTCTATTTTCCTTGTTTTGGGTGAAAATAATATCCATCTATCTTGAATAGAAGTCGAGATATGTGTTATTGAAGGAGGTGGGGATCATCTGGTTTCAGAGTTAAAATTAGTGAGAAAATGGCAGCCAAAGATGAGTTATAGTTATTTCCTTTGCTTAAAAGTCAGTGGAAATTGAAAATTTACATTTTTTGTGACTTTAATCAATGTTTTTCAGTAAAATTCACGCAAAAATGTATTCTTTAATGGGCATGAAAGGTGTTGAGCCAAAAAACGAAAATTTGATAAAAATTAACAAACCTGCGGAAAAGTGCCAGTTTCTTTACTTTGATTATTTTGACGAGAGCCTGATTTCACTACGTTGCCTTAAATATGTGTTCTGTTCTCAGATGGAAGATTGTGGGGGGAGAGGGGGGGCGGGGGGTTCCCTTTCTATGAAGGTACTGGTAGTTGATATTGTCATTTTGCTTTCCTGAGTATTCTGTTTTACTCTTTTTATTTTGTCTTACTGCTACTGTTGCTTATCTTTTTGTCAAATTTTAAAAAACTTCCCTCGACATTACCTGGCGATCTTTGCTGATTTCCTCCTATTTCATCGTATGCTGTTTCATTAGCATGGCTCTCTCTGTCCTCATCCACAGGCGGCTTAGCTAAACCTGGATCTTCATCTTCCAAGGTGTGTAAACTTTGCTTGTACTTGCTCCAAGTGTTCTACAGAATGCTCTGTTTACCCCTCCACACTTTTTGAAATGGGAATTTGAATTTTTTGAGCAGCAGTTTGAGTTTACAATTGCTTAGTAGTACAGAAACCGATAGGCTTTGTGAAGGAATAGAACTTTTTTAAAAATGTATGATCTTCTTTTTCTCTTTCATCTTTAATTGGACATCCCTGCCTCTAGTGCATAGACTGCTGTTCATCGCAGGTCCTCCCAGGCTCCTGTAGAGTTTACGGTCTGCCTGCTTAGGGGTGGCCCAATATTTGTGAGGTGTGCTGACAAAATGAGTTACTTCTCGGATTTCAGCCTAATGGCAATTGATACATCAACTTTATAGGTAAAGTTTGTACAGTTTGTAAGTATGGAATACTAAAAGAGACGGTAGGCTTGAAGAAAATGGCGTCAAATGAAAATCTATTAATCGGACCGTAGTGTTGATTTTTGCCGATATCTCCATTCTTAGATTGCGAGAAGTAACTCATTTTGTCAGCATGCCTCATGTTTCCTTCTAAGTGCCTCGAACATTGCCCGTGTGGTTCCCGGGTCCCTGTCCAAGAGACAGGGAAGCAAAGAATAGGACTACTATATCCGTACCGCGCATGCCGTAGAAGGCGACCAAGGTCGGTTGGGCAAAGGGTTAGCAGCCCTTTCCCGTAAAACAAAAAACAACTACAAAAACATCAACAGCAAATGTTGTTGATGGCCTATGCTCCACTGGCAGTTAAAAAGGGCAAGAGAGAAGAGGGCCTTGGACATATAGCAGGCTTGTGGGAGATGATTTCCTGTTTGGCTGCCTGTCCTACTCTGACACTGGTCTGAGCTGCTGATTCAGGACTTCGTGTAGAGCTGGTGTTTCAGTTGGATACATAATTATTTATTCACATTCAAGCGATTCATCACTTTTAAGGACAAGTGGGCTAACCCAGATTTCGGGGGTTTCCAGAAATCGTGACCTACACCAAAAGTGGGCAGTGCCGTATCTATAGGAGTTTTGTTTCATTGGTGTGTATATTTGTTTGGTTATAGAGTTCTAAAACTCTCCTTGTTCATTAAAGAAACTGAACAAGGGGCAAAAACTTTACCTTCAATTTTCTTGAAACAATACTTTTCGGGATAGCCCCCTTGTGCTTAAAAGCGACCAATTGTAATATCAGTAACAATAGTTCAAATTAATGATTTCTCTTTTTACTAAACAACTTTTGAGTCTATGGGTTCTGAATGAACTCACTGCTCCCGAGCCTAACCAATAAGCAAAGGGTGCTGGTTTCAGAATGGTCAACTTGAGTTGAGTCTTGTAAAATGTTTGATTGAGTGTTTGTGTATATACCATGCCTCAGCAATTTTCACTTTTTGGAGTTATAAAAATATGTTATCTCATCTCATCTCATCTCATCCCATCTCACACCATCTCATCTCACCCCATCTCATCTCATCTCATCTCACCTCATCTCATCTCATCTCCTCTCCTCTCATTCCCACTCGCAGAGCTCTGTACCCCAAACGGCCCCGGCATCTCTGCGGCAGAAGACAGAAGACAAGATCTCGCTGCCCGTGGGCTCTGAGGTGAAGAGAGGAGGAACTTTTGTCGCCGGAAGACTCATTTTCTACCCGAAGCCCATCCCGCCCCCTCAAGTGTTGCCTATAACCAGAACGGTATGGACGCTAGAGCAGCATCTGTAGTTTTTGTATCTCTCTTTCAAAGAAGACACAAAAGTAGCATATTGTCAAGGTGTTAACTCATTTGCTACGTATTATTTTCGGTTTGTGGACGAATTTTTTTCGGGAAGGCGAAATGAGATGATGACTAGTGCGCAGTTCAAAGGTCTTTGGGGCCACAAATTCAAATAATTAATATTAACATATTATACCCCGAAATTTTCAGTATGATTTGTAGAATACATCTGTAATGTTTATAGGTGCATTTTTAGACTTTGGTTCCTGTGAGAGGCGATTATGTAACACATTTTTGCTTGGATGCGGATACAATTTGAAAATAAAAAATTAATAATCTTCGGTGAAACTCAGAAAATATGTTTGCACTTAGTTCAAATGATACATCAAAATAACCATAAATGAATGTAAAACTGGAAAATATTGAAAAATTTGCAGTTGTTTATATACATTCCATACAATTTGCAAATTTGGATTGTGACATCCGATATTGAAAAAAAAAATAAAAAAATTTTATAATCTTGAAAAAAAGACAAGATGCATTCACAAACAAACAAAAAAACAATCGTATCGTAGATATGGAATTATTCAGAATTGCATTTGGAGGAAACCTACACATGTCTTGAGTGGTATTTTTTGTGTAATTTTACCAAAAAATAGTGATTTTTGGGAGAAAAAAATAATTTGACAATTTAGATCTAGATCTAGATCTAGCTCTGAAAAATATTGATTCCTCAAAAACAGAGCAATGGCAATTTAAGCCCAATTGTATCAATATTCTAAAGAAGAGTCCTACATTTCTTTAGTGGGCAAAATAATTAAATATTTTGTTGTGTAAAAGTAGTAAGACCGGTGTCTGGGCTATAATTTGAGCATCGCGATAAAACAGTCGCATAAACTTCGAAATTGTGTTTCAAAACTGAATCAAAACTTCCGATTTCCGGTGGAAACGCTTGACCCGGAAGTCAACATTATATTATGACCTTTATTTTAACATGGATATATGGATTGGAATAGAATCTAAGCTAAAATTGAAGATCGGTTGTCGAGCCACCGTGGCGGCTTAGTGTACTGACAGCACTTTAGCTGCGCCGTCCCCAATGGCTCGGCGTAGCGAATGAGTTAATTCAGAAATATAGGCCAAAATGAAACTGATCCACCTCAGAACTCTTTGACGTGTCAAGAAGAAGTCCTGTGATTGATCAGCGTCATTATGCCCCAAGTCTGACTTAGTCCTAAAAGGTAGCAGCTTGACGATATACTAAAAGGAAATGGAAAGACAAAAATTTTTTTTTGCCGCAGTCATCCTTCTCATTTTTCCGTTTAATTTTTGTCAATAGAACTTCCCTGAGAGCAAAGCCAGTACATAAAAAAAAAAATATGAAGAGTTTTTGTTTATTTCAAAGATTGTTCCAATATTGTTATTTTTATTTTACTTTTTATTTGTCTATCCTATCTTGAACTTTGAAAGTACAGTCAGAATTTTCCAAGGCAACCGCCCATTGTCTAGGAGAGAAAGCAGATGTCTTAGACAGGTTTACGTCTTGGACAGCTTATTATAATATTAAAAAACATAAGGGGGGGGGATGAAGTGGTCACTTGTACAGGTGATTGTCTTGGACAGGTCACCATAAGAGCAGGTTCGACTACACATGAGTATCATGGAAAGATAAAGTCCGCTCCGTTGGTAGGATTCATTCCTAAACTCTATTTTTCATGACTTTTTTTCATGGTTGATTTGATTACTCTGGTGCGGTTTGCTCTTTATTTCCTATCAAACATCTTGCATCATTATCTCTTCTTCTTTTCTGTGTATGTTACTCTCCAGTAATATCTCTAATCTTTGCAATTTACATGACTTAACCGTGTTGCAAGTGCTGTAAAACTCTTACTAAAACTATTACTTTTCTTCCTCTCTCAGAGTTTGAACAAAGAATATCCCCAGTTTGCCAGCTCCTTCTCAAATCCAGACCCGGACGAGCGGAAACCAGCAGAGAGACTTGTAGATCAGAGGAACCTTCTGGAAGAAACCAAGCTCGTACTTTACAGGGAAAAAATCCAACCGTCAACCCCCGGCCCGGCAAGATTAGAAAGAAAGTTCCGGAAAATGATTGAGCGAGACCGGGCGATCAGTACAAAGTCTTCCAAATCGAAGATGTCGAAAGCTTCAGGGTAAGGCCTAACATGTAGCTCATGAAGAATGTATTACTAAATAGAAAACTTTGACATTAGGTGTTATGTTATCGACATTAGGGTCAAATTTGTAGATTTTCTATTGATGTCATATTCTTTAAAACCTGTCTTTTATTATTTCATATTTTTAAATTGTAAAAACTTCAACTGGAAACGTGATGTATCTATTTCCTTAAGGTTTGAATCCCAGAAGTAATTCGTTTTGTCAGCTCGCTTCACATTTATTTGATGAGAGTTGTTGTTAGCGATCCAGTTATTTGGTGAGAGAAGACACAAAAGTTAGCTCTCAGTAGGCCTACTTTTATGCTATTTCTTGGGCGAAATGCTCACAGCTAAAGGGATTTGAAGACCACAACAAAAACATGCTATTTCTTTCAATTGTGTTCGCTGACTTCTGAATAAATTATCAAGGACTGGCAGATCAACCCTAGCAGTGTTTACAGAATTTAAAAAGTTGACCTATTTCTTCCAGTTGGCACATTTAGAGCATGACGCCACCATCTTGTATAAATTCTTGGTCAGGTAATCTGGAGAATTGAAGAGCGGTTTTCCAAAACTCAGTATGTCAATTTTGACAAGCGCCTGGTTTCACCACAACGCCACACACATACATTATCTAAAACAGACATATATATGCACTGTTCACAGCCGAAAGTTCCGTATCCCGGACTCTAGCATTATTAAAATCTAAATCATTATATACTCATGTACCCATAATAATATATAAATGGGTCATGTTCATATTACAAACGTGTGAGGCGTTGTGGTGAAATCAGGTGCTTGTCAAACTTGACTTACTGAGTTTGGGAAAACCGCGCTTCAATTATGATCAGTCGTTTACTGGAAATAAAAACATCCTGCAGGAAAGACTAGATGAAAATACATGTAAAGATTATAATTCGACTTTATTCCCATGGTAAGTTTGATTAAACTTTGATTTAATGCTATGGTCCTTCATTTTGAATACAAATTATGTGGAAAAAAATTGCAGGTTTATATGTTTTTTCTCCAATATACATGACATATAGATGATCCCTGTACAATGTATTTGAATATGCTACAATACTTTCACAGCGAGAGGAAGAAATTAACGAGAGAAGAGCTCAGGTATTTTTAGCGCATCTTTTGTGTAGCCCTTTACGCACAAGGCCTGAGGAAACTGCGGCCAAATAGTTTCCTCTTTCTTTCCCTGATCGCACACTGATGTATTTGTCAAAAACTTTACCATATATTCAAGTATTGTTTTACTCTATTTATAGAATTATGTAGGTTGTTTTTACTCTTCTGCCTTTAGCATAGAGACAACTAAGATTAAAGAGATAATAATAGAGCGATTATGTATTTCGAAATAAGTTCATTTTACCAAGTTCTGTTAATGTGCTTCAGAATTTATCGCCTTTGAGTCTTAGACACTCAATAACATGTAGCGTCTTTTTTAACCCTATCCATACAACGTGAGGAACTCTGTGCCACCACTTTCCTAAGAGGAAATTTACTTGTTTATCCGATCCGTACGTTTTTGTTTTGCAGTCTGTCAAAATGATTTTTTTTAAAATACTGAAAGTTTCAAAGAGATCTTCCTACAAGAAGTATTTTAAAATGTGAAGAATACAACCCCAGGGGTACAAAATGACCCCTGGGTGTACAGATAGGATTAATGTGTGAGTGTGCTGGAGTGAATAACTATACAGTAGACAACCGTTGGGGATCATTGTGTGTAAGTGTGGGTGTGTGTGTGAGTGTAGGTGTGTGTGTGTGAGGGGGAGAGAGCAGAAGATTTTAGACGTACCACAATGAATGTGTGATTGCAACAAAGTAAGTCAGAAGTCAGAGGGAAGTTGACTTTTTCCATTTTTTCTTTTATTCTCATTTTAATCAATTAATCTAGTCTTGTTTTGTCAGGTGGGTTTTTTTTGTTTTTTTTTGCCTTTGCTTATGAGAAATCAGTTTGAACTTAGCATTGTTTCTTGGGAAGTTAAAAAAATTTGTTTTGGGCGAACAACTTACCTTGATGAGATTGTGATGTAGAAACTACTTTGGAAATACAAGAAAAACTTCCTTTATATTAAAATTTTGCTAAACCGTTTAGTTACCTCCTCTCTTATTAAATTGAGAACTGCATTTTTTGCTCAATTTTTTTTTTCATTAAAAAAAGTTTTCTTATTTCTTTGCGTTTTAAAAAAAAACTTGTGCTTCATTTCAGATCTCAATGAATTTTTAAGTAGATTTGTATTTTGTAGTTTTATGTCCATTCTCAATTTTACACTCTATAGTTTTGCCTTTTTTAATCAGATTAGTTGTACCTTAGAAAAGAGAATAAAGTTAAGGTAGTTTTTTAAAGTGAATGTTTAAGTCACTAGTAATGCATTTTTGAAGTGACAGATTGTGAAATACCTTCTCTATTTATTAAGACAGAGAGCAGCAGTTTGCATTCTGCTTTAGAAAAGTATATGAATCTGATCTATACTCAAACAAAATTGACAAAAGAAAAAGAAATATTTTGAAAATTCATATATATGTATAAATTATATATATATCCGTTTCTGTGTTCTTGCCGCTTTAAGTTTATGGGAACTGTCAAGCAATTCTGACTACGGAGTATTTACGAGGTCACTTTATACTGTTTTCTTTTTGACTATTAGATTTTTCTTTGTCAGCTTTAAAAGATAATTAAGGGTTGTTGAAAGAAGAATTAGGTTTTATTTTTTCAATCATATAGTCTTCTTGTTTGCTGTGCAGGTCCCTTGCCGTTCCTGTCTTTCCTTCCAATTTCTTTCACTGTGTACGAATTATGCGTGGGTGATTGGTGGGTGCTCTGGTGTGGTTTGCTTCTTCTTTCCTATCAAAAATCTATCGTCCTTATCTCTCCTCCTTTTTTTGTGTTTGTTGCTCTCTTGTATCCCCTCTAATCTTCGGCATTTATATGACCTTATTGTGTTGCAAGTGCCGTAAAACTTTTACTAAAACTAAATGGATTATGCTATGCTGCTCCTCATTTCAGTCCCAAAATTTTGGATTTGTTTTTACATTTCATTATAATTTTGATTTCTATTTGATATCATTTTTACTATTATTATCACTTTTATTATTATTATCATTATCATCATTATTATTATTATTATTATTATTATTATTATTATTATTATTATTATTATTATTATTTTTATTTTTATTATTATTATATTATTATTATTATTATTATTATTATTATTATTATTATTATTATTATTATTATTATTATTATCATCATTTATTATTGTCATTATTATTATTATTTCTTTTTTTTAAATTAATTTATTTTTTTATCATAATCACTATAATTTCCATTACTTGTATATGGAGAGAGAATATTTGAATCATGATGTGACGTAATGACAGTTCTTCTGCGGAGAAGATGTCACGATCAGTGCAGATCTTTAGTTCTTTTGTGTAACTTGAGCTTTTCTGTCCTCTAGTACCGCAAAATGTTGGCAAGGAGAGATGGAAAAAAAAATGGCATAGGTTTAACGCCCCTATCAACTCTAGTATTAGATTATTTAAGAGAGGGGAGACGGAGCCATTGAATGAGCATACATGATAATGTCTTCATATTATATCAATAACATTATTTAAGCATCAACGTCATGGGCCCACATCCTAAATGATCTAAATTATGTCAATAGGGGCCTAAAAACACCTTCTATAAATATTAAAGGAAAAAAATAGAAACAAAACGTCATGAGCCATACGTCTAATTCATACGGCTGACCAAACCAAGTGGAGAATCTATTGAGTGTATCCCACTTCTTTGCTGACAAATGAACCCACTGAACAACAACAACTGTACGTATTATAGAGGTGCTGGCCATCTGATGATGAAATGCCTCTATTCTTCTGAAAATCTGTGTAGATCTACAAGTGTGACATTTTCTGCAGTGTGTCGTGTGTACTTTCTTTCCTTCGTTGTTTCCTCTTTCTTGGGCCAAGTTCTTTCCTTCGTTGTTCCCTCGTTCTTTGACAAAGTTCTTGCCTTTGAAATCACCTGTCTGTTTCTAGCACTATATTTAGCTCAAACTTCTTAAACTACTTACTTTACTTTACTTTTTTGATGCAGCGGCCATCTGGGTTGTAGCCCTTCAGCCTGTCGATATGGCAAAGAATTTACAGGTTTTTTTCAGCTGTGTTTTGTCGCTGTATGAGGTATTTCCAATATTTGGGGAGGCAGATAGATAGGTGCTACGCAGGTCGCTAAATGCAGTGCAGGTAAAGAGGTGGTGGGATACTGTTTCATCCTGGCAGTCACAAGTGGACGCCTTTATTTATTCTATTCCAAGTTTTGTTTCTCAAATCTTGCCTTTCCTTTACCAACATTCCTT